TATCAAAAATACAAAAATTAGCTGGGTGTGGTGGCAGGCGCCTGTAATCCCAGCTACTCCAGAGGCTGGGGCATGAGAATCGCTTGAATCTGGGAGGCAGAAGTTGCAGTGGGCTGACATCATGCCACTGCGCTCCAGCCTGGGCAATGTTGAGTGAGACTCCATCTCAAAAAAAAAAGAAAGAAAGAAAAAGAAAAATGAACAAAAATTTAACCCTCCTTAAATCTTCCACCAACAGGACAATAAAAGCACTGTTTTAGTCATAGTGTGCTAAAGTTTGTGGTTCATTGCAGCCTAAGAAATGATACTTAAAATTTATGTTATTGGCTGGGCGTGGTGACTCACGCCTGTAATCCTTACTTTGGGAGGCTGAGGCGGGTGGATCACCTAAGGTCAGGAGATTGAGACCAGCCTGACCAACATGGTGAAACTCTGCCTCTATTAAAAATACAAAAATTAGTCATGTGTGGTGGCACATGCCCATAATCCCAGTACTCAGGAAGCTGAGGCAGGAGAATCACTTTAACCCAGGAGTCGGTGGTTGCAGTGAGTTGAGATCGAGCCACTGCACTCCAGCCTAGGTGACAGAGCAAGATTCCATCTCAAAAAAAAAAAAAAAAAAAGAAAAGAAAAGAAAAAGAAAGTTTATGTTATTTAGTCTTTGTAGGGGAATCCCCTTTAAGAGTAAGACTGGGGCAGAATCATAGAATCATGTGTCAACTCTGAAGTAAGAAAAAGGAAATATGGTCCCACTGGGTCTCGCTGGTCTGATTAATTCCTAGAATGACATGAAAATTGGTTATTTTCTCTGGATGATTTAAAACTGCATCTAAACCTGAGTTTGATGACTTCCTAGCAAATTCAATAGTCCATTCATCAGTTATTCCTTCTAAGCTAAATTTAGATCTCCCAGTATGAGAGTAATTCATTTTTTAGGGAATGTTCCCGTATCTCTATCATCTTGGTATGTATGGGGAGAGGTCATGAAAACATTTTTGTAGAGTCACAGATTATTTTGTAGAGTCAATAATTATTATTCCTGTTGTTAGAATCTCGGCCCTGCCCCCTCACAGTGCCAGCAGGTCACGTGGAGTCCCTTATCAGAGACTTAACCAAAATAAAATATTTTGGCTTGTAGGTATTGAAAAGGATCTTCTGTCTTTGTCTTAGAATCAATCTTTGTCTTAGAAAGGAGAGATAGTGGCCGGGCGCGGTGGCTCAAGCCTGTAATCCCAGCACTTTGGGAGGCCGAGGCGGGTGGATCACGAGGTCAAGAGATCGAGACCATCCTGGTCAACATGGTGAAACCCCGTCTCTACTAAAAATACAAAAAATTAGCTGGGCATGGTGATGCGTGCCTGTAATCCCAGCTACTCAGGATGCTGAGGCAGGAGAATTGCCTGAACCCAGGAGGCGGAGGTTGCAGTGAGCCGAGATCACTCCATTACACTCCAGCCTGGGCAACATGAGTGAAACTCCGTCTCAAAAAAAAAAAAAAAAAAAAAAAAAAAAGAAAGGAGAGATAGTTGGCAGCCAAAGAGGCAGAGGGCTGAACAAACGTGAGCAAAGGCAGGCCTCCCAGACTGACACAGAGATTGAAATAGAAGTGGCTGAACAGTGAAAAGCGAGCCAGCTTACACTCACCCCAAAATTACTAGGACGTGGATGAGTCTTTCAAAGGAAGTCTGAATAAAAAATGACTAGATTATCAAGGAAAACTAGTTCAAATTAGAAATGAAAGAATTAATCAAACAAACAAACAAAAACCCAGCATACAATAGGCATTGAAATAGAAATAGCAGCATGATAGGATTCCCAACAGAATCTATAGCATCTTCTGAATATTTCATATGTGGAGTGCTGAATAAAAACCAGTGATATTACTGAGCACTTGCTAGGTTCCAGCACTGTGATCTGCACTTTTATTTGTACCTTTTACTTTACATTTACTTTTAGTTACATTTACATTTATGATTTCTTTTTTTTTTTTCTTCAACTTTTATTTTAATTTCCAGGGTACATGTGCAGAATTTGCAGGTTTGTTATATAGGTAAATGTGTACCATGGGGTTTGCTGCATAGATCAACCTATCATCTAAGAATTCAGCCCAGCATCCATTAGCTATTCTTCTTGGTGCTCTCTTTCTCTCCCTCCAACCCCCACAGGCCTCAGTGTGTGATGTTCCCCTCCCGGTGTCCATGTGTTTTCATTGTTCAGCTCCCACTTGTAAGTGAGAGCGTGCGATATTTGGTTTTCCTGTTCCTGCATTAGTTTGCTGAGGATAATGGCTTCCAGCTCTATCCATGTCCCTGCAAAGGACATCATCTCATTCCTTTTTATATGATTTCAGCCACTTCTTAAAATAGCTCTGAGAAATAGTACTATTGTTATCTGTATGAAACTGAAGCTTAGACAGGTCAAGTACCCTGCCTCAAACCACCACAATCAACAGGGGAGAGGGATTCAAATCCAGATCTTTGTGTCTCTGAGCCTGTGATCTAACTGCCATTCTATACATTACATTGTTTTCAAATATGTTAAAGTTTTTGTTATAGAAATAGTGATTTGAGACCAAGAACTAGGAGATGAAGGGTGAGTCTGAGCAGAGCACATTTGCTCTACTTTGAAATTGCCCAAGTGAAATTCTTTTCTACTTCCTTAGTGAGGAGCAGTGGAAAGGAATTGTTCTCTTTTCCAGGGAACTGCCTGTGCCTTGACATGATTGCACATCGATGGTTGTCTTCTTAGACAGTCAGGTGATAGCATGTAGGAAATGCTTCCAGCCATCAGGGAACAAAAGAGGCCTGGGGGGACCTCAGAACCATCCCTGGGTAGTTCGCAACCACAGTCGAGATATGTTACTGTTCTGTCACCACAAGGATCCCTCAACCTACTCTTTCACAACAATACCCAATCTAATTAAAAAATATCCAATTTCCATTTTGAGTATAATTGGACTCATATTGATGGGGCTTTCTATTATGCTCAGCTTTTTAGTGGGAATGCCGCAGATAGAAAGATTAGGAGACTTGAGTGTCCTGCCTGTGGTATATCATAGTTTTGTGCTACAAGCAAGCATTTAAATTCTCCACACTTGAATTTTCTCACCTATAAAAGTTGAGATAAAAATACCGAACCAGACCAGATGTGGTGGCTGATGCCTGTAATCCTAGCACTTTGGGAAGCCACGGTGGGAGGATCGCTTGAGGCCAGGAGTCAAAGACCAGGCTGGGCAATATAGTAAGATCCCATCTCTACAAAAATAAAAAATGTGACCAGGTGTGGTGATGTGTGTCTGTAGTCCCAGCTACTCAGGAGACTGAGGCAGAAGGGTCTCTTGAGCCTAGGAATTTGAAGTTGCAGTGAGCTATAATTGTGCCACTGCTGTAGAGCCTGGGCAACAGAGTGAAAAAAAACAAAAAACTAACCAATTGCTTTGATGTATGGGCCAAAGGAAAGTAAGTGTATATACTTAGAAGAAAACAGAAGTGTTATAAACCAACGGAGCCCTTCTAGGAAGCTAATACAGAAGGTAAGGAATGAAAGTAATTTTAAGTGCTAGTAATAAACTCATCTATATTGCTGGCAATCACTTCTAAGGACCAAATTGAACATGACTCATTTCTATGAAGTTAACTTGTGGCATTGGGCCTCAAACAGTAGAGTCACTTTATCATTGAATGGGAGTGAATAAAAACACTACACAATGAGACAATTGCAAAATGAAAATCAGCCTATTGTGAAATCTATAAATGGGCTTCCTTTCATAAATGGAGTCTAGATAGTGATTCCAAATTATTATGACAATTTGTTTACTTTCTAGATATGGAACATTAGTGTCTATTTGGGTGGGGGGATAATCACTTACCTCAGTTTATATTGAAAGAAAAGTTCAAATATTCTGAATAGGAAAATGATGCAATGTGATGGAACTTTGATCCAAATGGAATCGAAGGCTGCAATCTAGGTGTACAGCAGGTGAAAACTACTCAATAAATGGATGTTAGATCATTTTAATGGTTCATCTATAATCGTTGATCACTTTGATCCATAAATTTAGTCTGGTACCAGCATAAGTACTTTAATGGCAGCATAAATAGCCAGGATTTCAAGCATATTCTTGAGTTTCATTGTAATGTAAGAATCTCTTAAATCCCCTTTTGAGCAGGATTTGAATTACTCTAATTCTTATGACATGATTATCCCTAGCAGGACAACATTCTTTTAAGAGGTAAACATCATTATAGAAAGCTAATTCATTTAATCTGGGCAAAACTAAAAATATCTTTTTCCTCCTTCTCTTAATTGGTCCATATTTAATTTTCTTTAGACTTGTTAATTTTATATCATCTTTTTCTAAATATGCAATAGAAATCTGTGACTGGATAGACTTTTTTCAAATTTGGACAGGGTAGTTCTTTTTTTCCTGACTATTGTGAAGGAAACTGCATTCTTGGTAGTTTTATGCACTGATCTCTAATGCCAGAGAGGAATAGAACATTGAACTACTTATAGGCAAATGTACATATACTAATAGAGACTGAACCTTAGTCTAAAACATGAAAATAGTTCAGGCACAGTGGCTCGTGCCTGTAATCCCAGCACTTTAAGAGGCTGAGGTATGCGGATCACTTGAAGTCAGGAATTTGACCCATCACTTTTGGAGGCTGAGGTGGGAAGATCACTTGACCTCAGGAGTTTGAGATCGGCCCAAGCAACATATAGCAAGACCTCATCTGTACTTAAAAAAATATATATATATTAGCTGAGTATGGTAGAGAGTGCCTGTAGTCTTCGGCTACTCAGGAGGTGGAGGCAGGAGGATCACTTGAGTCTAAGAGACTGAGGTTGCAGAAATGGATGATCACACCACAGTATTCCTGCCAGGGTGACAGAGAGTGATCCTGTCTCAAAAAAAGAAAGAAAGAAAGAAAGAAGGAAGGAAGGAAGGAAGGAAGGAAGGAAGGAAGGAAGGAAGGAAGGGGAAAAAATAGATAAAGTAGAAAAATACAAACCTCTGAGAAAGAAAAAAAGATGAAACCAACTCAAAACACTTCCCAGGAGCCTTAATTTAATATTCTTCACTCCTATAGAATATAATTCTGTGTGAAGTGTCACAGCTTATCCAAAGATGAGCTGCACTTATACAAAGTTGTGTTTTAAGGAGAAAACCTTTAATTATTTGAAAAACTAATAATTTTCAAACGGCTACAAACATGAAAACCATACTTTTAGGCTACTTGTTTGTGACTATTCTGTTTGGATTGCTCAGACTACAGCACACTATTGGGTAAATCTGTAATAGTTTTAGGACTGATGAGAATATATATAATCTCATCAATTTCTTGAACATACTTGAAGATTCTGCTATTCTAGCAAAATTAAATGGTTACAGCAGGAACATTGTATTTATTTACTGGGAGTACAAGTCATTTGTAACAACTTTGTTCTCTCCACCAATTAAAAGCCTGAAGCAAATGATATTAAAGGCCTTATTTTCTGGTTTCTTGTTAAGCCACAAATCCCAACTCTTTTCCATCCTGACAAACAATAGTCAAAGAGTTGTTCCTACTAGTGATTGTGAATGCTAACCATATAATATGATCAGGACCCACTTATGAATATTCAACATTCACCAAGTACTTATTGAGTACCTAATGTTTTCCACGTAATGTGCCAGGTATTTCTTTTTTTTTTTTTTTTGAGTCGGAGTTTCGCTCTTGTTACCCAGGCTGGAGTGCAATGGCGCGATCTCGGCTCACCGCAACCTCCGCCTCCTGGGTTCAGGCAATTCTCCTGCCTCAGCCTCCTGAGTAGCTGGGATTACAGGCACGCACCACCATGCCCAGCTAATTTTTTGTACTTTAGTAGAGACAGGGTTTCACCATGTTGACCAGGATGGTCTCGATCTCTTGACCTCGTGATCCACCTGCCTCGGCCTCCCAAAGTACTGGGATTACAGGCTTGAGCCACCGCGCCCGGCCTAAGGTATTTCATTATAGTTAAGTGGACAAGTTCACTTTTGAAATTCCCCTGGAATCATGTGAATTAGTGTCGTCTCTTGGTTAGACTCAGTTATAGCCAGTCTATCAAAGAGAATCGTCTGAACTTGAACTCTCTTGGTCAAATACGGTCACAGTTTCCAGCTAGAGCTGGGTTTTTACTCTGGAACACAGCTACCAGCGTTTTCTGCACTTGAAGTTTCAACTTGATTAATCAACTAGAGCAGCTTTTGTGTAGGTAATGAGGACTTGAGGGAGGGACTGTTGAGCAAGGTTTGAGCCAGGCACTTGAGTACTATTTAGTTCGATTTTGTGAACACTCACAAACATTCCAAAGTTATGTACAAATTGGTCGCCTTGAGAGGAATGCTGGAGTCCCAGATATTCTGAGCTGAGAAGCCAGCACAGGGAGAGAGACACCAAGTCACCAAAACACAGTAAGTGGGCTGAGCATTGAAGACTCAGCAACTCCTGACTGCTTTGAAGTGACTTTGCTTTCACGCTGGCATTAGCTGTAGTGACAGGGTCCTAGACATGGGGTGTAGTAGCTTCTACTGTACATTGCATGCTTCTTGTGTTCTGTGCATTGGGAGCAAGTTAGCAAGCAATCCCCCCATTGATCTGAATGGACTTCAGGTATTGAGTACCAAACCATCCCTACTTTCAATAAGCTCATGTTTCTTATCATCACGGAGGTGGCCTTTTGCCAATGGATGGATGCTCCTGGCCCGTGAAACATTCTAGACAGCGCCTGGGACTTTCTAGGCCGTAGGAGCCATTGAGGTGAGCATTACATCAAGGCAGAAAATAGAGTCCCACAGGACCCCTTGTTTCTATCGGTTGGTGCATAAGTAGTTTTTAGTGGCAAAACCTGCAACTACTTTTGCACCAACCTAACAATTACAGCTCCTTCAACAGGCCATGCAGGGCTTCCCCAGCCCCAGTGGCTGTGTGACAAAGGGCAGTAACATGTGCTGTCCTCTTGCTGTCTACAAGGGACAGTGTAAAGGCTTTATATTCATTATCTAATTTTTAAATCAAATAGCTCTAGGAGATGCTTTTATTATTAACTAGTTCCCTTTTTCTGATAAGAAAATACAGGTTCACAGAACTTCAAACCTGGCTTCAAACCTATTTCCTTATAGGAATATAAGGAAATAGGTTCCTTATAGGAATATATGTGTGTGTATGTGTATATATATGTGTGTATATACACACACACACACATATTCCTATAAGGAACCTGTATACACACACACACACACACACACACACACACACACACACACACACATATTTCCTTAAAGGAATACACACTCATATTCCTATAAGGAAAAGAAAGCTACATGCTACATAATTTCTTCTTTTTGGATAAGGTTGCTTTGTGCTCATCCACCTTTCTCTTCATTCCTGGAGCTGAGAATGTGTGTAATCCAACTCCAGTGAGGCCAGAGGAAGCTTGTTGGGGTGGATAATAATTTTTGGAGTGCTTAGCACAGATTTTCCTGAGCCTTGAGGAAAATCTCATTCCCAAAGACACTTCCAGATCAAAGCTGAGAAGAGTTGGGGTTGAGGTTGATGGAGCATTCATTTCTACGAATTTAGATTGAAAAGGGAAAGGAAACAGAGATTAAAACATAGAAAGATAGACTTTTGAGATGGTGTGCTTGGATAGGGATACAGCCTGGCTCTGTGTCTCACCCAAATCTGATCTTGAATTGTAATCCGAATTATAATCCCCACGCGTTGAGGGAGGGAACTTGTGGGAGGTAATTAGATTATGGGGGTGGTTCCCCATGCTGTTCTCATGATCTTGAGTGAGTTCTCACGAGATCTGATGGTTTTATAAGGGGCTTCCCCTCCTTTGCTCTGCACTTCTTTCTCATGCTGCCATGTGAAGAAGGATGTGTTTGCTTCCCCTTCCACCATGATTATAAGTTTCTTGAGGTCACCACGGCCATGCAGAACTGAGTCAATTAAACCTCTTTCCTTTGTAAATTACTGAGTCTCAGGTATTTCCTCATAGCAGCGTGAGAATGGACTAAAACAGAAAGTCTACCCATTCTTTCTAATTATAAGACCAGAAAAAGTTCCTCAATAAAAGAAAAGACTAGTATATGCTAAACTAGAAAAAAGGAGGGAAGAAATAATCTCTTTAGGCAAACACTTTGAATTCAACCTCTAGTAAAATTTGTTACCAACTTTCTTGCTATTTATAGCTTAAATTTTTTGAAAAAAGTTATTTTTCCTTAGTACACATAGAATGCATTTTATTGCCAATGATACAGATAAGCAAGAAGCAGATAAATGCTTTCATGATCCTATAACTTTGAAATAATTATAGTTAACATTTTGGTGTAAAATCTTCAACGTTTTTGAAATTTTAAAAAATATACATGTGAGGCCAGGTGCAGTGGCTCACACCTGTAATCCCAGCATTTTGGGACATTGAGGTGGGCAGAGGACATGAGCTCAGGAGTTTGAGAACAGCCTGGGAAACATGGTGAAACTGTCTCTACCAAAAAGTATACAAAAAATTAGTCAGGTGTGGTGGTGTGTGCCTGTGGTTTCAGCTACTTGGGAGGCAGAAGTGGGAAGATTGCTTGAGCCTGGGAGGTGGAGGTTGCAGTGAGATAAGATTGCACCACTACACTCCAATCTGGGTGACAGAGTGAGGCCCCCATCTCAAAAAAAAAGCGTGTATTTACAAAAAAATAAAAGTGTATTTTAATTTATTAAAACCATATTCCTAACACACATATATATATATATATATATATTTTAGAAATAATAACTTACCATTTAGGGGTACAGTAGCCAAAATTTTTGAATGGATAAGAGAAGAGATTTCTTTATGATAACTGACTATAGGAAAGCTCAGATATTCAGAATTAGCAAATACTTTGAAGAATTGACAAATCTAACAAGTTTTCAACCAAAAAATGATCAACAGCCACGTAAAACAAAAGAAAGCAGAGGTTAATGAAAGAGCAAAAAGTGGTTGGGGCATGTTTTGGGAGGTGTCAAGCAGGTGGCAACAGCTCCCTTTTGGAAAGAGGATTATTCTGAATTGGCTTGCATTTATTTGCAATTTTATTTTGGTGCTTTGTGGTCCCAGAGGCTAGCAGGGCTCTGATCGCCATGTGTTTTTAAGCTTGTCAATATCATCACACGTACAAAATTTTTGCGTTATCTGACTGTAAGAAAGATGTCTTAAGCCTAGAATTTCTGTTCAGTCCCTTGAGACATTCATCCCGATTCAAATATTTGTGTAAAATTTTTTCTGTATTAGGCACTGTGAAGAATACAAATATTAGAAAATAATAGTTACTGCATTATTAAAACTACTAACATTAATAATTCTAATAAATATTAGAAAAATAATAGTTACTACAAATATCTTACTAATTTACATTGACAATAAAACACACACACTAAACATTAAACAAAAGAACTGGCTGGGCACAGTGGCTCACGCCTATAATCCCAGCACTTTAGGAGGCTGAGGTGGGTGGATCACCTTAGGTCAGGAATTTGAGACCAGCTTAGACAACATGGTGAAACCCCATCTGTACAAAAAATATTAAAATTAGCTGGCTGTTGTGTATGCACCTGTGGTCCCAGCTACTTGGAAGGCTGAGTTGCTTGAACCCAGGAAGTGGAGATTGTGCCATTGCACGCCAGCCTGGGTGACAGAGTGAGACCCTGTCTCAAAAAAGAACACAAAAAAATCGCCCAAAGTGACACATGATTGTCATGGTGAACAGTGTAGAGAATCAGTAGGCTAACAGAAAGAATGTGATCCAGGAGCCTGTAATTGTAGAGAAAGAAGTTAAATAGCATCTTCTGTTCTGTTCAAAAAAAAGAGAGAAGTTTCAGGTGCGGGGAGAAGAGAGAGATGACCATGAAAGTCAGAAGGAAAAGCAGGCTCAGAGCTCTCCCCTGGCGCCATCTGTAATGGTGCTTGGTATTTGTGCTCCAGCATATTGGGCACCCCTAAAATGGAAGAATCCTGGACCACAAGAGGGGAGATCTTTATGCCACCAGTGGTTAAATAAGTGAACATGGGGTTCTTTTCTTCATGTCTTAGTTTCTCCATTTGTGATGTGGGTAGCTTCATATCTCTACATGCCCCAAAGTCATTGGAGTCTCCATGAGATAATGTGTGTGAATGAGATTTTTCAGTTGAAAAATGAGATGTAAGTATCTTTGGTGATAATGCTTTACTGGATATACAGACCGAAGAAAAGCACAAAACCAGGGCGTGAAAGGACAGTGACATAGTCATGACATGGATATTCTCCTATGAGTGGGGGAACACCAGGGCTCTTGTCTCACGTGGATTAGATAAAATGACACAGACACATGTGGAGTGGTTTCAAGGAGCAGAGAGTTTAATAGGCAAGAAAGAAGGGAGAAGAAAGAAAGAAGAAGCTCTCCTGTTCAGAGATAGGAGGAGGGAGCTCCAAAGCCAAGAGAGGAGACCCTGAGTGCAGTGGACATCAGCCAGTTTTATGAGGAGGCTGAAGGAGGTGGTGTCTGATTTGCATAGGGCTCAGAGCATTGGTTTGACAAGGCATGTCATTCATGCAGCCTGCAAAAAAACTGACCCTCCCACCATAGACTTTTAATATGCAAACGCAGGGCGCCAAGATGTTCTACACACATGGGGATACGTGGGGGCAGCCATGCTGCCAGGCACACGTAGGGGCAAGGGCAAGAGGACAATGGTGGGAATCGCCATGTTGGGTGGACCCAGTTTCTAATGGTCTTCATTTGCATATCAAAGGTTGCCAAGCCCAGCTCTAAGAGCCAGGGCTTTCTGCTAGACAAGAAACGTTTCTGGAGCTGCTTTAAAAGAGACAAAAACTTTCCAAGGACCCCTTTTCCTCTCTCTGTGCCTAAAATAATTTCTTAATAACTCCTACAGCAGTCACAACACACCCAGGTCAATGTGAGTAATTTTAGAGACAGAGTGAGTGCGTAATTGGGTCAGATTGGTAGAGGAAAGAAGGCCGGTTGATAGGTTGAGGCCATTTAGACTTCTCTGTCTGATCAACATGGAGAAATAATGGGAAGTGAGGAGACTTGGGGAGGAAATGCTTTCCCAGGGAAATGGAGCACTCTGGAATTTTTATGATAGGGAGAGTTTTCATACATTTGTATTTCACCTAATAAAATGGCACATTCCTGAGTTTTATGGGCAAAGCATGATGTTAAATCTTTTAACATCTTCTTTCCACTAATTAAATAGGAGGAAAAGGAAATTTCTACTTTTTCTTCTTCTTTCTTTTCTTTTTTTTTTTTTTGAAAGAAAGAAAGCGAAAGAGAAAGGGGGAGAGAGAACAGGAGTCTTGCTCTATTGCCCAGGCTGGAATGCAATCTACAAAAAGGTATTAAAAACCTCTTTTATGCTGATAATTGTGCTTAACAGCAG